TGATGGATGTGGCAAACGAATTGCAATAAAAAGCAATGAACTTTTGGAACCTCAAAAGAAAACTTACAGGTATTTGCACTGGGTGGGGAAAGGATAGTGTGTCTTTAACTCTCAAATTGTTTGGTCCTATTTTTTAAAAGGAAAGGGCCCTACATAGCTCAGATATTAAAGCACTAGTTATTCTCAATTGCCAAGTGTTTCACTTGAAAAGTTTATCTAAAATATAGACTAATTTTCTAATTTCAACTTTTTTTTTGATACAGACCCCCTTTTTTTTTTTTTTTTTTTTTTTTTCTTTTTTTCTTTTTCTAATTTTTTTTCTTCCCCTCCCCTTACTTTTTTTTTACCTTGGTTATTTGGCCAAGAACACAAGTTCGAACTCATAAATGCTGATGGTAGCCTTTGTGATAATTTCCTAATTGGGCCTTTAAAAAAATAGTGGCTGGGTGGAACCTTACTGTAACCTACTCGTTTCACCAGAGCCTTAGTACATGCCTGAAACTGAAACCAGATGCACCCTTGGTATCTTCATAGTAATGGAAGGAAGGTAAACTGAACTTATTTCTTTTTAAACCTAGATGTATCAGCAAGCAACGTAATGGAGGACTTGGGGGAAAAGGACCACATACTCAGTCCGTGGAAGAATCTTTGGAACAAGCAACTGGCTATTGAAAAGGTTATTTTGTAACATTTGTCTAACTTTTTACTTGTTTTAAGCTTTGCCTCAGGTGGCAAGCTTCATTTTATGTGCCATTTTGTTGCTGTTATTCAAATTTCTTGTAATTTAGTGAGGTGAACGACTTCAGATTTCATTATTGGATTGGATGTTTGAGGTAAAATTTCATTTTTGTTTATATAGTGCTGACTTTTTTTGTTTGAAATTAAACAGATTGGTAACCTAATTTGTGGCCTCCTGATTTTTAAGGAAACGTGTGCAGCCATTACATACAGCCTAAAGCTGTCAAGAGATTGACTCAACATTGCCTTCATTCCTTAAAATTAAAAACCTACAAAAGTTGGTGTAAATTTGTATATGTTATTTACCTTCAGGTCTAAAATGGTAATTTGAACCCAAATTTGTATAAAGACTTTTCAGGTGAAAAGACTTGATTTTTTTGAAAGGATTGTTTACCAAACACAATTCTAATCTCTTCTCTTATGTATTTTTGTGCACTAGGCGCAGTTGTGTAGCAGTTGAGTAATGCTGGTTAGCTGTTAAGGTGGCGTGTTGCAGTGCAGAGTGCTTGGCTGTTTCCTGTTTTCTCCTGATTGCTCCTGTGTAAAGATGCCTTGTCGTGCAGAAACAAATGGCTGTCCAGTTTATTAAAATGCCTGACAACTGCACTTCCAGTCACCCGGGCCTTGCATATAAATAACGGAGCATACAGTGAGCACATCTAGCTGGTGATAAATACACCTTTTTTCCCCCTCCCCCCAAAAATGGTAAATCTGATCATATCTTCATGTATGAACTTAAAATATGGAAAATGTTAAGGAAGCAAATGGTTTGTAACTTTGTAAGTACTTAAAACATGGTGTATCTTTGCTTATGAATATTCTGTACTATAACCATTGTTTCTGTAGTTTAATTAAAATGTTTTTTTGGTGTTAGCTCTTCTCAGAATATGTCTTGGTCATTTTTTTCCCATTTATTTAAAAAGACCTATGCAATTATCTTGTGAATATTACTGTATAGTGTGAAAGTGAAATGTTTAGTACTTAATTTACTAAGTTAAAAAGTGGAAATGCCAGTTCACCTAAAATTTTTCAGTGCTTTAAGGTAGCACTTTCTTCAGGTTGTCACTATCCCTATCTCCTTCTCAATCTGTTTTATGCCCTATTTTAGTAACTAAGGAACAACCCAAGTCCTTTTTTCCATAGATGTTTTAATTTTTCTTTTCATTGTTGTTACCCATGAGTGTTGTCTAGGTGACACATGACAATCTAAGGCCAGCAGACTTGTGCATCTTCAAGCCCACTGCATTTTCTCTCAAGGTGAAGTGATCGGATCTTAGTTTACATGGCGGTTTGCTAATCGGCATTGACATTGTCCCAGAAAGGCTTGTAGGTATAATTCAGAAATTGTTTTTTGCAAAGGAGATGACCAGCATTTCAACAGTGTGTCTTCCTGGAAGGGCAGATTCTGCTATATCTTCCTTGTCTGCATCAAAAGACTCCAGAGGAATATGGACACATTTCAGATCCCACTTGTAGAGCAAAGCTTCAAGTGACCAGTCAGCACTGAAAAAAAAATAAATTTTTTTTTTTCCAAAAAAAAAATCCTGCCTTTTCTGTTTTGCTTCAGATAATATTTTATCTTTAAGCATTAGGGTGGGTAGTAAGGCTCAAGTTGCCTATTTAATAAAATTGAGAGTAAACCAGGATTATTCACACTTACCTTCTAACCTGATAAGTACACCACAATTGGACATTGGGGTTCTTCTCCATCAAAAAGTATACTGTAGTTAAAATATCTTCAAAATCTGAGAAGAAAGGACTTCTTAATAGATTCCACTACTGTGCATCTCTGGCCAAATTTACTGTTGAGTAAAAAAGTTTACCTTCTGGTTCAAAGAATACATCAGATGCAAGAATAATATCTTGTGGTGGTAGTGCCAGAAGATCCCGAGATATGTGACCCCATGTTAGGCCTACAACATGTACCTGTGGCAGGTTATTTATTTGGCAGCTTTGTCGGCAAATTTCTAGACAGTGAGGCAGTTCTGAGCTGTCTGACAGTATTACTTTGGCACCACATTTTGCAGCCAAAATTCCTGGAAGGCTCACTCCAGCTCCAATCTAGTAACAAAAGTTTAAAAGATGACATTTCAAAATTGTGCTCAGAGGTCAAGGGCTCAGATCCCTGTACTGGCCAGCCACAAGAAAAACTGGAACTGCATCAGATAATTTCACATTCGTTGGATTTTTAACAAGTACAGAGTCAATTTTTAAGCACCTCCGTGGGTTTGTCATGTCTATAACACGTACCATAATTAACATCTGTATAAGGAGCTTAGGCTTTGAAGTTGTTACAAGTTAATTCCTGTGGTTCCTCTAATTACTGGGTAAAAGAGTAAGAACAAATTATACAGTTTTACTTCCATATCAATATTAAAGGGCCTTATACTTTGCAACTGACAAATGTATTGCTTCCAAATTCAGTACTGTATCTCAAGCAGTTTCATCATTTCATTGCTATGCACAAGGAAGTCGTTTAGAGACACATGGCTTCCATCTGTCATGACTCAATTTTCTTAACATGACCTGTAAGTAAAGGAACATCTAATTCTATAGGATGCCAGGTCTCAGTGTTGGAAGGATGACTTGCATGTACAGCCAGCTGTTCAGTTACCGTACCAATTTTATTACCTAACAGGTCTGCAACACATTTCCCAGCTGGGCCTTGAAAGTTTTTCAAGGTTTGATTTAGGATTTTTTTACTTTACAGTGGTGCAAAAGATACCCATTCAGTATAATCTACACTTCAGTACTGTATTCAATAAATTATGTTAGACATTCAACACTATTATAAAACAGGCTTTATGTTTTAAGCGTTCTGAGCAGGTTTAAGGTAGGCTAGGCTAAGCTACAATGTTTGGCAGGTTAGGTATATTAAATGCATTTTCCACTTAATTTCTTTCTTTTTTTTTTTTTAAGATGATCGGTAAGGGGATCTTTACCCTTGACTTGGTGGTGTCAGCACCACGATCTCCCAAGTGAGCCACGGGCTAGCCCATCCACTTAATATTTTCAACTTCTGATGGTTTATTGGGATGTAACCCTATCATATGTTGAGCATCTGTATTAGCATTTATATTGATTGAAATACAAGCTTCCTGTTTTCTAGCTTGAGGATGGACATAGAGATTCTGTTTTCTGAAGGTCTAACCACTTTGGGCCAGAAGTGTGTGAAATCCTACCCTTCATTTCATTTACACAGTTTTGCAAAAGTAAAGAGTTAGACAATTATGTTCTTAAACTTCTAATTTGTCTACTCAGCCTTTGGGTTTAAGCATAGTGTGAAAGTTTACTATCTCTGCAACCTTGATAAAATTTATTTTTCGAAGCCTTCAGCAGTCAACATTTCCAAAAATGAAAATGACTACGTTACAGTCTGAATGTGTCCACCCAAATTCTTATCTTGAAAACCTAATTCCCAATGTGATGTGGGGCCTTTGGGAGGCAATTAGATCATGAGGCCTCCCTCATGAATGAGATTAGTGCTCTTAAAAGAGGCCCTGGAGAGTTGCCTTCCTTCTTCCACCATTGAGAATACAGAAAGTGACAGAAAGACAATTCAGGCCCTCACCAGACACCAAATCTGCTGGTGTCTTGATCTTGCACTTCCCAGCTTCCAGAACTGTGAGAAATATCTGCTATTTACAACCCACCCTTTATGGTATTTTGTTATAGCAGCCTGAATGTGAAAAGCACTGCAAAGTGTTACAGTAGAGCCTGGATGACCCTGTCGGGACACCAAGAAAAATGGCTTCCCAAACTAATGCCAAGAAAATCAATGGAGTTCATTTAGAGTAGGGGCCAGCAAATTGTAAAACATCAGACAGTAAATATTTTAGGCTTTGTAGGCCGACTATGGTCTCTGTCACATTTTTTTTTCTTTAAACAACACTTCTAAAAAGTAAAAAACATGGGCTGGCCAGTTAGGTCAGTTGGTTAGATAACACCAAGGTCAAGGGTTCAGGTCCCTGTACAGGCCAGCAGCCAAAAAAAAAAAGCAAAAAGCTTTCTTAGTTCACAGACCTTACAAGCTAGCCAAACCACCCAATTCAAAAATATTTAACAAAAGCTAATAATGAGCATGTAGATTTAAATCTGAACATAACCCAGGGCTTTGGAAACTTCAGGGGCACATGTACCTCTAAGACAGCCTTGCCTGGAAGAGATCTTCTGTGAAACCACAGGTACTGGGCCAGGACCACAGCACAGGGCCAAACGTACATCCCATATTGGAGGTGCAGGACCTGAAAAGAATTTTTTTGTATGCCGTAAGTAACTTATCTGCTGTAAGATGGAATATTTATTTATACAGCAATTATTGTGTCAGGCACTGGCATCCAACACAAAAATGACAGTCCTGCTCTTCAGTTCACAACCTGTGGGATATAAAACTACAATGCCACATGATAAGCACTCTTCACAGCACTCATTCAACAAGTAATTATCTGGCGCCTGAGTATCAGAGACCATTTTTATACTTGTAATGTAGCTCTCATTCATGAAGCACATATCCTACTGGAGAAAGGCAATAAAAGGAAGCAAATATTTTGGTTAATGATAAATGCCACAAACAGTAAAACAGGCTAATGTTATAGTTGTCCATGCCCCCATTACACTCTAAAGTGGCTGCTCTAGATAGGAAGAGGACGATTCGGATAAAGACCTTGAAGCAGGAACCGAAAGGTCTCAGTGGCTGGACCAAGCAGCCATAGCGAGATAGACATGGCAGCCAGAGGCATGTTTCTGCTGTGCAGCTAGAGGTCAGAGGTAAGGGAGGGACCAGACCTGTGGAGTCGTGGCCAGAGGAAGAAGTTCAGATTTTATTATAAGTGCCGTAAGAAAAAAATGGAGGGTTTTTAAGCCCAGGCATAAGTTGGTATGCTAAAGGGAAGCAGTGTGGTCCTAGGAAGACATCCTCAGAGAGGTTTAAGTGGAGCTGAATCCCAAGAAGGCAGGCAACATACAAAGTCTTTGGAAAGGACTTAGAATCATGACATCATGGTGTTTAGGGAGGCAAGATAACATAGCTGACACCTCTGGAATGAACCTGCCTGGGTTCAAATTTTAGATCTATAATTTACTAGCTGTGTGATCTCACACAAGTTACTCAACCTGTCAGTGCTTCAGTTTCCTCTACTGCAAAATATTGTCTCAATAGGGCGATTAGTAAGATTCAATATCAAGGACACAAAAGCAAGCACTCAAAGTTGCAATTAAGCTGCAAATTTGCAAGTTTCTTTCTGTCCTCTGGAGCAAAGGGTGCCCCTGGTGGGGTGGTAGAAAAGGAGGCCAAAGAGGTAAAAGTATCAAAGGTAAAAGGGACTGGAGATCCAAAAATCATTCAATCCACTCAAAAGCTTAATGCCTAAAATACACGGACTGTTCTTCTTCTTCTTCTTTTTTTTTTTTTTGTGACCGGTAAGGGGATCGCAACCCTTGGCGTGGTGCCCGTACCACGCTCAGCTAGTGAGCACACCGGTCATCCCTATATAGGATCCAAACCCGTGGCGGGGGCGCCGCTGCGCTCCCAAGCGCCACACTCTCCCGAGTGCGCCACGGGGTCGGCCCGAAGCACTGTTCTAAGTAAGGGTACAGCATGAAGAAAAGAGCCAAATATGTCTGACCTGGTGGCTTTTACCAAAGAGTACAATAAAGAAAATTTCTGATGGGAGGATAGTTATACAGACTTGGGTATAAAGAATAAGGGCCTCTTTTCACAGAGAACATCTTCACCCCTAATTTTTTTTTTTTTTTGTCTTTTTTTTTTCGTGACCGGTAAGGGGATCGCAATCCTTGGCTCGGTGTCACCCGCACCGCGCTCAGCCAGTGAGCGCTGTGAGCGCACTGGCCATCCCTACCTACATAGGATCTGAACCCGCAGCGGGAGCGCCGCACTCTCCCGAGTGCACCACAGGTCGGCCCTTCACCCCTAATTTTAGGAAGAAATCCAAAACGGTATTTGCACGTGAAGCTATTTGAAGACTATTATCAGAAATGGGTCCCACTCCAACTTCTTAACTTCTCTCAAGCTGGTTCGTCTTTAACATGGGATTACTAATACCTACCTCACAGGCTGCTGTTAATATCAAATGAAACACTGCAACGTGAAGGTGTTTTGAAAAACCGAACGCATGTAAGATATAGTTACTGAGTTTTGTGGCTGCTGTGAACTCAAAGGAAGAAGGGACTGCCAACCAAAAAACTTTATTCGGGCACTGAGAATTGTAATCCCTGGTCCCAGAACTCACACGGAAGTGAGAGATAAAGATGAATTATGCCCTTCAACAAGATTAAAAGAAATACTAGGAGTCAAGAATGCCACTTTCCTGGCACGATATATTCGATGTGGAGAAGCCCCCTTCTGACAGGGTCCATATATATGTTAAAAAATATATATGTATATACATGTATATATATACACATACAATATGCCAGAGTCCATATGTATTATATATATATGTAATGTAATATATATAAAATATATAAGAAAAAAAAAAATATATATATATATATATATATTTTTTTTTTTTTTTTTTTCCTGGAAGCTGGCCGGTGGTACAGGGATTGAACCCTGGCCCTCGGTGTTATCAGCACCAACCGTATTTCTAACTGGGAGACAATAATCTGCCAAGGGCTTCGTTCCAAACCTTTTTGCTCTGGGCGCCAACCCAAAGCATGACGCCGCGGAGCTGAGGGTCCCCACCCCTTCCCCTTCACGACCCCAACCAGGTCGCAGGCGCCTCCGCACTGAGGGAAGGGGAGAGCGCTTCCCGGCGGGTGCCGCTGCACGCACCTGCGGGACGTGGACCTCAAGCACGGCCGCCTCGGATCCCGGGCCCGGCTCCCCCGAAAACCGAAAGCGCTGGGGCCGGACCACATGCCCTCGGAAGCCACGCTCGCCCGGACGGGCGCCGGTGGGCCCCGGGCGAGCAAGTGTTAGCGGAGGGCGCCGGGCTGCCAGGCTGCACACGCGGGCACTTGCGGGCCGGCCGGGGGTTACCCCTCCGGCGAAACGTGGCCCTCCGCGGCTACCGCCCGGCCGCCACCACCCGACGGCGAGACGCGGAAAGCCCCACTCAGCGACGAGGCAGCCTCGCTGCCAGCAAAATGAACCCAAAATAAGAGACACCACACACAGAAGCGGAGACGCCAGACAGCGGCCCGGCCGGAAGCGAGCGACCGGAAATGGCGGGCGCGCCGGAAGTGGGCGCGGGAGAGGCGGGGCGATGGCTCGGCTGACAAGACCTTCCCAATATGGCGGAGGCACGCCGTGTATGAGGGCGGGCCCGGGAGACGCCGAGGCCAATGGCGGACCGCGAGAGGCGGGAGGGCGCGGAAGACGGCCTCCGCACGCCCAACCCGGGGCTCGGGAGGTGGCTGGGGAGTGAATTTTCTGGAAGGCGACTTTAAAGGCACCGGGCCGAAGCGGAGGGTATCCCAGTGCCGCCGACGCTCGGGCCGGGGTGGGGTGCGCTAGTGGCAGGACGCGGGCTGCGCCGAAGTCGTCGCGGAACCACCTGGCGACTCCGCAGGATGAACCACAAGAGCAAGAAGCGGATCCGCGAGGCCAAGCGGAGTGCGCGGCCGGAGCTCAAGGACTCGCTGGACTGGACCCGGCACAACTACTACGAGACCTTCTCGCTGAACCCGGCGGCCGTGGCGGTGAGCGGGCCCGGGCGGGGGTCGCGGGGCCGCGTATCGGCACCTCCCGGCCGCTGCGCACCTCGCCCGGGGCCCGGGGCTGCCCTCCCGAGCACGGCTCCCCGGAGCTCGGAGAGGCTCTCGGGCACCTCGCGGAGTTCGAGGCCTCCTTCCTCCCATGCTACAGCCTACCGCCTGCCCGGGCAACAGAAGTCTTTCCGAGGAGCCTTTGGCGTCCTCGACATGAAGGCTGGTCTCCCTGAGCCCTATGGGCGGTGGGGCCCTAGGGGACCTGGCTGTCAAGGCTCAGAAGTGGGAGATGCGAAGCCCCCTCCCGCGATGGGTGGCTCTGGGTGCGACGTGTCCACAAGCACGCAGAGCCTTTTCCCCGGAGGAGGAGCCAGAAGGAAAATCTGGCTCCTTAGGTGTGTCATTGCTAATTGGCCCTGGGGGACACCCTTACCTGCCGCTGGACTTGTCTTTTTTTCTTTTTTAACTGGACGGGTCTTTTCTGATTCCCTTAGGACAATGTGGAAAGGGCAGACGCTTTACAGCTGTCCGTGGAAGAATTTGTGGAGCGATATGAAAGACCTTACAAGCCTGTGGTTCTGCTGAATGCCCAAGAGGGCTGGTCTGCTCAGGAGAAATGGACTCTGGAGCGTCTGAAAAGGAAATACCGGAACCAGAAGTTCAAGTGTGGTGAAGATAACGATGGCTATTCAGTGAAGATGAAGATGAAATACTACATTGAGTACATGGAGAGTACTCGAGATGACAGCCCCCTCTACATCTTTGACAGCAGCTATGGTGAACACCCCAAAAGAAGGAAGCTTTTGGAAGACTACAAGGTGCCCAAGTTTTTCACAGATGACCTTTTCCAGTATGCAGGGGAGAAGCGCAGGCCCCCTTACAGGTAAAGTATCCTGTAGCTAAGTGGTTTAAATCTCATCTATAAGCATTTGTTAGCTGGATTCAATCAGCTAGCCATTTCCAAATCAGTAGTTCTGCCTTGGCTGCACATTGAACTCATAAGGGGGGCTACTGATGCCTGCCTGGGTCCTACTGGCAGAGACTGATTTAATTAGTCTGGGGTGCCGCCTGGACGTCAAAATTTCTGAAAGCTCTCCAAGGGATTTGAATGTACAATAAAAGTTGAACCACTGATCTGTAAGGGAAGTTTTAATAGTTCAGGTCCAGCAATAAACCACAGCAGTGATTTTTTTTTTGTTAGAGATAGTCCATGCACAGTTCATTTGCTGTTTCTGTGTACTAGAATTTGTATAGTCTTTGAAATGAAGATAATATAATACATCATATAAAACTAAAAACTTAGTATTTTGTGTTGTCTGTGGGTGTATAATTAAATTACTCTTTACATCGTGGATGTTTCCATCCTGTAGGTGGTTTGTGATGGGACCACCACGCTCTGGAACTGGGATTCACATCGACCCTCTAGGGACCAGTGCCTGGAATGCCTTAGTTCAGGGCCACAAGCGCTGGTGCCTATTCCCTACAAGCACTCCCAGGGAACTCATCAAGGTGACCCGAGAAGAAGGAGGGAACCAGCAAGATGAAGCTATTACCTGGTTTAATGTTATTTATCCTCGGACACAGCTTCCAACCTGGCCACCTGAATTTAAACCCCTGGAAATTTTACAGAAACCAGGAGAGACTGTCTTTGTACCAGGTATAGATGAACTGGAGGAAAGTATATATTTGATTTCAGAAATTTGTCATTTTGGAGCAGACTTTATAGAGTGAGTCAAAAAAAATCTCAGCATGCTGCCTGGTAGATTGACTGGTACACCCCTGACAATAGTATGTAGCTGTATCATCAAGTATGCAGGAAGCTGTTGTCCACATTTGGTATGATAACTGAAACTATTGATAAACTTTTTGTATGTAAAGATCCTACTCATCTGGGAGTGCCACCTTGTAACACCAAGGTCAAGGGTTCGGATCCCTGTACAGACCAGCCACCAAAAAGGAAAAAGATCCTACTCGTCTTTATTCCTAGTAGTTACGTAGTATCTTTGCTTATGTGTAGTGGATTGTGCATGTTTCTATAAGTTGGGTTTTTGATACAGTGTAGCATTGGCTGTGTTGAATCAGGAAGTAGTAATTTAGAGCTAGGAGGCAGGAAATCCCACACCAGACAACTATACTTTGATAGGTTAAGCATATGGAAGTGAGGGTATTTAAGGTAGGTATCCTCCTCCTATAAGCTGAAGAACTTTCTGCCTTTACAGTTTTGGTCCCACCTTTGGATTAATAGGGGTCAATGAACTTTTTCTGTAATTATTTTAGGCATGGTGAGCCAGCCAGTCTCTCTCACTACTCAACTCTGCCCTTGTAGCAGGAAAGCAGCCAGAGACAATACATAAATAGATGGGCATGGCGGTGCTCCAATAAAACTTTATTTGCACAGACAGGTCATTTGCACTCCTTCCTGAATCAGGAGGAACATTTACTGTTCTGTACCATGTGTGTCGGGAATCCCCAATTTCTGGGGTTTGTGTTACATAGTGATTATGTATGGGACCAAACCCCTTTTAAATGCCTGTTTGTTGGATTTCAGGAGGCTGGTGGCACGTTGTCCTCAATCTTGACACCACCATTGCCATCACCCAGAATTTTGCCAGCAGCACCAACTTCCCTGTTGTATGGCACAAGACGGTAAGAGGGAGACCAAAGTTATCAAGGAAATGGTATAGGTGAGAGACTTTTCTTATTATTGCTTCATTCCACTTCCTACCCCAGAGATAAAGTGGAAAGAGTCCACTGCTGCAATACTATGTGCTGATTTTAGAGATGCCTGGGAAAAGCTGGAGCTGCCAGACCTTCCGGGTAGAGGAGAGAAGATCCAATCCAAGGTCAGGCTAGTTTTCAGGTTGTTTGCCAGCCTCAAGGTGGCAGGGTAGGACTCTGCATGTTGGATCAAAGCCACTCAGTCAAACCATGGTCATAATTGAGATTGTTCCTTGTTTTTTTTTTTTTTGTTTTTTTTTTTTTGTTTTTCAAAGCTAGCACTAGCAAAAGAAACCATCGTATTTGGGTTTTATTTTGATTATTTATTTTTTTTACCCAGAAAAATTATTCCCATTTGAACTTATTACCTTCAGTTCTTGTGAGTGAGGTGACTGCCCTGGAGACTTAGCTCCTCTGTTTATCCACAGAACAGATACAGCACGGGCAACGGCAGTGCAAGCCACCCCCAGCCACCCCGTGCCACTGTGTCCCAACCCTGACCTGGAGGGACCAGCTCTCGGGGTAAGAGAGGGATTCTGGCTTGTTCAGTGCTCAGCCTCCCTGCTGAGAGGGCCAGCAAGGGTGGTGGCTTCTGTTCTCCCTGGACTCTTGGGCTTTTGATGCCCACTTACCCCGCCCTGCAGGCCACTGTGTGCTGCAATTTGGTCACTCCAAAGGCCTCACCATGTAGCAGGTCTTTTGTCACCGGTAATAACATCCCAGGTTAGATTCCTGAAGGGGAGGGCTACTGCCTAAAGTACAGTTCAGTTTTATTTTCCAAGCGAGCGGGGAACTGTCTCTGTTATTTGACACGTCTTATTTCTTACAAATCTAGTCGTTTCTACTCTCACAAATAGAATCCAACCAAACCCAACTCCAATCATTAAGTGCTGTGCTGTGGAAAGGAGCGGTTTTCAAAAAATCAGCTAGGAAAGATTCAGGGAAAAAACCAGGAAAAGGAACTGTTTCTACCAAGGGAAAAAACTAAGACTAACTCAAGGAAACTTTCCCTTCCAGTATTGACAGTAAGGCTGGCTCATTTGTGCAGGTGGTAGTGAATCAGGTGTAGCTAGTATTTCATTTTCCTTTCCAAAAAATATGGGCAGTAAGTTAGGGTTTTTATTCCCAGCCTGGGGTTTTGTGTGTCCTCATCATTATACAGTACTTGTTATGAATTGACACCTGGCATTTCTAGGTGTTTCTAAAACGTACAGGTTTCTACTTTGAGTCTGAGTCATTGTGTGTGGATTGTGTGTGGGTGTTGCTGCCTGTCACTGCACTAATGTTTTTTTGTCTCTCAGGATCTTGAAGCAAGAGCACCCTGAGTTGGCAGTCCTGGCAGACTCAGTTGACCTTCAGGAGTCCACAGGGATAGCATCCGACAGCTCCAGTGACTCCTCCAGCTCCTCCAGTTCCAGCTCGTCGGACTCGGACTCAGAGGTGAGTCCTTGCTTGCTCATGGACCCTCCGAGGCTCATGTCACTCAGTCAGAAGCAGCCCTGGTTCTTCCTCCTCATGTCCGGGAGGGAGGAGGATAAGAACATTTTTTCACTTTCTTCCAAGGACTGCACATGCAACCATTCCTGCTGAGTGGTGAATCTTGCCCATTCTGTCGCTTTACACATGTATGTAAATTGTTAAAATAACCTCAGGAGGTATAAGTGTTGTTTGGGGATTTAGTGAAGTTAGTGGCCCGAGATCACACAGCTAGCAGTCAGCAGTGTCAGGATTCAAGCTTAGATCAGTCTGACCTCAAAGCCAGTATAAAGAATTTGCTCCTTGAATGGTAAATGTAAAGCCAAAAAACTCAGCAACTCCAGTGACCTGCTTAAAGCTGACAGTAATACTGGGTAAGAGGGCCCCTGTGCCCTCCACAGATGAACTTTCTGTCTTCACATGATCTACTGATATAGTCTTTCCTATTAGGCAAGAGAGGGGATTTTATGAATGTTGAGTATTTTACCTGCTGCTTTTACACATCGAGCTCTGTTGCTGGAGTGAAATTCTGTATTGCAGTTTCAGAATGCTGACCGTAAAATATGTTTACAGTGGGTGTCTTGATTTCAAACAAATACCCGTTACAGGAGAGAACTATGGAGGGACACTTGGCATCTGAGGGAAGTTTGCAATTCTTAGGGAGCCAGAAGCATCCAAGGAGGTGAACACTAAGACCATACTGTGGAACTGTCATAAATGACTGCTTTGTGTCTAGGAGAAAGTGAATAATATCTGTGCTGTCTCCTGAAGTCACAGGTTTGGTCAGTGAAGAAGTGGGTTGTGTCCAGGTTGAATTCTTGTTTTTTGTCCTCCTGTGTCCAGTGTGAGTCAGGGTCTGAAGGTGATGGGACAGCACATCGCAGGAAGAAGAGGAGGACGTGCAGCATGATGGGAAATGGGGACACCACCTCCCAGGACGACTGTGTGAGCAAAGAGCGCAGCTCCTCCAGGTGACCAAGCACGGCTGTTTTCTGTGTGGAAGGACACGCTTGCAGCGAGGGCAGGCCTGGGGAGGGCAGCCTGTTGGAGCCTGCAGACCAGGGGAGGGCTGGCAAAAGCCAGGGAACAAGGATGCTCTCAGAATATGAATCCCTTCACTTACTGTTTGCGACCGTAGCTGCTTTTTCTGCTGCCGGTGCAAGTGAACGTGGCTTGTTTTATGCGTAAAGGCAGGAGAACATGAATGGTGCCAAGAATACCCTTTACACTATTTAATAAAAATTGAACCCATTTTATATCTTTGACATTTTTTTCCTGTGAGAATACCAGAACCTCCCTTTATTGCTCTTCTCTTTGTCGTGGGCGTGGGGAAAGCAATGACTCCAGTGGAGTGTATCCTCAGTGGTGAAGGTGTAGTTACAGCTGGAAGGGGACGTGAGAAAAGTTACATGGCATCTCTGAAGGACCGGGCGTGGCCTCTTGCTTTTCTCCCAATTTACCATTGCTGCTTTGAGGGCTCAGGCCAAGTCAGACAGCAGCAAAGAACTCAGATTTTTTATAAAATCTTAATCACGTCTCCAAGTTTTTGTGTTTTTTGAGACAAGATTGTATCTAAATAAGTTAAAACTCAGAAATCAATAAGATAATCTATTCGCAAGCACCTGTCCTCATGCTAGGCTTGTAGAAAGCCCAAGTTGAAGTTTGTTTACTCTGCATGTGTCTGGGGTCTTTACGTCCCAGAGGTCTGTTTTTTTTTTTTTTTTTTTTTTTTTTTTTTTTTTTTTTTGTCTTTTTCGTGACCTGGAAGGGGATCACAAACCTTGGTGTGGGGTCGCCCACATCGCGCTCAGCCAGTGAGCGCACCGGCCAGTCCTATATAGGATCCGAACCTGTGGCGGGAGCGTCGCTGCGCTCCCAGCGCCGCACTCTCCCGAGTGCGCCACGGGGCCGGCCCCCAGAGGTCTGTTTTTGATGTGCTAGTTGAAGTGTTAACCGGTAAGGCATGGAGAGATAGTAAAATATTAAAGTTTGTAGGATTCTAAGTGTCTGAAGCCCTTGACTGCTGCAGGTGACATTCCTGTTACATTCTTTTGTCTCCAAGCAGCTGAGTGTTTTCTTAAATGCATTATGAAAATTGAGGACCCACGTTGCTTTTTGTTGTCTTTTTTCCATTCTTTGTGATCTGGTTGAAATTCCATGGAGAAATTCAAGTGTCTTACTCAAGTGAATTTATCAGACTACAATGTGCATTTCTCAGCCTTCGTCCTTTTCACAGCCATATTTAGATTTCTCTTCTTGCCTTTGTAACTTTTTTCTATGATTATGGATTTATTTGTGTGCTTGATGTGTGACTTTGTAATTTGTAAGAAAATTTTTTAGAGAAAGCCCTACCACTGCTTTAACATGGGGGTGCTGGGGTTGTGCTTTTAACATTGCTTTCCCGCTTTGTACCCAGCTGTGCTGTTGTCTACGTGCTGATTACAGGCAGTTGTACTTTCCTTGGCAGGATTAGGGACACTTGTGGAGGCCGGGCTCACCCCTGAGCAAATAAAGAGACTCTCCCTGAGGTGGCTCCCGTGTAAGCTGTTGGCGGCCCCCCCACCTCAGTTCTCACGTCTTCTGCTCCTACCTTCTCCTTTGTCTTCTTTGAATTTGGATATTCCTTCTCTGGTCCAAGCTCCTATCTTCAGTCAAATGCTGTTTTTACTGCTTACTAAGAATAGATTATCAAGAAGTTTAAAAGCCCTGCCAGCTCAGTGAAACACTAAAGCTAACGTGATATTAGGTAAGAAACACTAGGTTGTCTCGACCACGAGGCTGGAGGAGTGTGATTCTTTTAACATCTTACTGTGTCTGTTACCTCACTGATGATGGGAAGGAACTTCCGCTGTCTGCAGAACTGGCTGTGTTCAAGCAGAGATGTTGAGAGTGGTGAGTGGACTTTGACCTGCATGTGAGCCAGTTATGTGTGAGAAGTACTGTGAGCATGTGCTGTCCTCCTGTATGTCACCATTAGTCCAAAACGTATTCAGTGGCAGTCACCCAGCCAGCATGCCCAGCACCAGCACCCACCGCTCAGTACTGTCTTATGATTCCTTATCTTTTCTCCATAGTCAGAGGCTGAAATTTCAGGTGTCTTTTTGTGTGGTATATTTTTGGGGGAGGATGGGAGGTGACACATTGGGGGTTTTTGTTTACATACAGAGTGTGAAAGATGTTCAGTGTGCTGTCATCACAGAACTTAAATTGTAAACAGGGCCAGGTTCTAACAGATTGGTTCTACTCTTTCCCACCACGTTGACCCATAAGTGAGAAACTATCACTTTGTATGGTACTTTGTCATTAGCATTGCCCGTTTGTTTGGCCTGCAGACATTAAGTTGGTGAGTTGTGTTATATGCAGGGGATAAATTCAGAGAAGGTACTTCTAGTCTTTGGAATCTGTTGATTCTTCTAAATAACTCTGGTATGAATATTTGGGGATTGACCAGCAGGTTCCATCTGTTACCCTCTTGATTCACCTGCTTGCCTTAGTCTGTCCCTAAATTCAACTAAATTTAAATAGAGAAAGAGAGAGGAGTTGTCAAGGCCATGCCCAGTCAAAAGAACTACCTGTGTTGGAGTGTAAGTAAAGGTGTTAGCAGCCAGGTGGGAGAAGGAATTCTCACATATGTGTTCCAGAGGAGAGGAGGAATGTGTGGGGGCATATAGGAATTGTATGCTGTTGCCTCTCAAAATATCCCCTAAACAGGTATAATCAGGGGAATGAAGATCTCTGCCAAGTGTTATTAACATTTCCTGGGCCGGCCCGTGGCTCACTCGGGAGAGTGTGGTGTTGATAACACCAAGGCCCCGGGTTCGGATCCCATATAGGGATGGCTGGTTTGCTCACTGGCTGAGCGTGGTGCTGACAACACCAAGCCAAGGGTTAAGATCCCCTTACCGGTCATCTTTAAAAAAAAAAAAAAAAAAATTTCCTGACTCTGGGTCATGTGGCTTTACTCTAGAAGGCTGGTCCTCTATTTTGTCTTAGTTCAGTTTTCTGCATCTTAAAATGCCAACCCAAATATGTGTGGCTGGGTTGGTAGGAGAACTTCTGTGCCTTCCTCAGAGTTGGCACCCTTCACTCTGCCTGCTGTGTGGTGAGCTGCTGTCCCTCCTCCTCCCCGCAGGGCTCAGGCCGCAGCTCCTTTTGTAGTAATATCTGTATGGTGTTCCTCCTCCTGCTTTTTAAAAGACTTTTCTTGCCATCTGCAGAAGCTTTTTTCTTTTCCCCAGTATTGCTACTAGGCTGTCACACTTGTCCTTTTTCCTTACCTTCCTCTCAATTTCATACCAACTGCTCCTCTCTAAATTTCAGGGTTTTTTTTTTTTTTTTTAAAAAAAGGTTTTGTGCCACCAGGGTGCATGGTGGGACACGTCGACAGTGGCCTGAAAGGTGGAGCAGAAATTTGAATTTGAAAGATTAGCTACCCAATTTTCCTTCTCCAGATCTGAAGGTGATTCCTGACTGATAAGCAATATCCAGAAGTGAGGGATCTTGCCCATCTCACAGGTCCCACAGTCATCTCCCCTGAAAGCATCTGGACAGCACAGATTATGTACTACTGTTTGGTTCTTGCCACCCCATAAATAACTGTGGGACATAAGCCATGCTTTATTTGTTCTAGCCAGGCCAGAATTCAAGAGTATTCAACAACCTGTGCCCCCCCACCCCCCACATTGGGCCAGTCAAGCCCTCCATTATGGAAACAAAGCAGGGACAAGATGGGAAACCATGTGATAGAGGAGTGGAGTGGTCACGAGATGACCAGGGTGGGTTAGGAAGTGGGGACCAAAGATCCACCTGTTCAAAAGTGAACGCTTCTTCCCACCTGGCCTGAGCTGCTCCTTTGAATGGTGTCAACAATAGTAAAGTGACGGATGCAACATTAGACTGTTTTCAGGCATTCTCCAAGACAACTGTTTTTGTTGTGGGGCTTTTTTTTGTGGCTGGCCACAGGGATCAAACCCTAGACTTTGGTGTTATCAGTACCACACTCTAACCAACTGAGCTAACCAGCCTGTCCAACAGCTAACCTTTAACCAAAGGGCTGGGTCCTGGAAGAAGGGATCTTGGACTAGTAACTGATGGGGAGGAGCAGGGTGGAAGAGACGTGAGTAGGGGGCCCAGGACATCCAGAGGGCCCTAGGTCCCTGGGAGTGAGGCTTCAAATCAGCCTGAAGAACCCAGTGGTGCACACAGTTGTCTCTGGAGTCATTGGTAGTCCTGGGATGTTTAGGGTGACACCCTTGAGCCACTGAAAGCCAGGACATTATTCACATTGTGCTCTATTCTTACAGCTGCCCATTTCTTAATAACTCAAGTGTTCAGCAAATGGTTGAGTGCTGGACACCGCTCTAGGTGCTGGAGATGCAGCACTGACAGTCCCCAGGTCTGACCTCATGGAGCTTAATGGACGGTGAATGTGCTGTTGTGCACAAGGGCCACTGGTCAGGGCAGGTGGACCTGTTCGTGCGCATTTCCACAACTAGAAAAGCAAGTACAATTCTTACTAAAGGCAGACTTATTAGATCTTCATGAAAGAACATAATTAACATTGTAGCTGTACAAACTAAATCAGTACATGGCTTCTTTATAAAGTAACTAGTAGGGGGCCGGCCGGTGGCTCACTTGGGAGAGTGTGGTGCTGATAAGACCAAGGCCGCGGGTTCGGATCCCTATATAGGGATGGCGGGTTCGCTCACTTGGGAGAGCGTGGTGCTGACAACACCAAGTCAAGGGTTAAGATCCCCTTACCTGTCATCTTATAAAAAAAAAAAAGTAGCTAGAGGTATTTAAACTAAGGATCAGTGGTCAAGTTCCTGGTGCAAATGCTTTACAAACTTACTAGAGACTCAGTCTTGGATTTAGGACTTCAGGCAGTAGTATGGGATGGAACAGGAATTTGCAGTAAATTTTTTAATAAGTGCTGCCTAGGAGGTAGGCATAAAAGGAGCAGTTGTAGGTTCTTTAGATTGTGTGTAGCATTTCCGCAAATGCATTGTTGTTGATGTGTGTACTGATTCTGGTGATGGATTCAAAGTGGCTTCTCCTTACTGCCCCTGCCCCACTGGCTTTTGTCAAAATGTTACATTGATGTTACATACAGCAAAGCTAGATGACCACTGCCCCTAGGTGGTGCTCTCAACTTTGCCTCATTGTTAGTTCAGAAACTTGAATCATCCAGCCCCCATGCATCTCCCTGGAGGAGAACTAGCCCTGACCTGCTGTCTCCATGGTGACTGGTCACTAC